CCCCCGGGGGCCCCCAGGGCCCATCTGGCCCCCAGACCCATGGGGGCCCCCGGGGCCCCGGGGGCCCCCGGGCCCCCCTACACCCTGGGGGCCCCCAGTAACCTGGGGGCGCCCAGTATCCTGGGGGCCCCCAGAGTTCTGGGGGCCCCCGGGGCCCTCATGGGTGGAGTGGTATTTCGGAGTTGTGGGGGCCCCACAGATGGAAGGAGTTCCTTCCCTTTGATTGCCTTGCAACCAGCTTCGCCGCTGCCGCTTCTGCTCTTGCTGCTGCTGCTGCTGCTGCAGTTGCTGCTGCTGCTGCTGTAGCTGCCGCTGCTGCTGCTCGTGAAGGTAAGGACTAGGGCCCCTCATTTTGTTGCTTTCCTGTCAAGCTCGAGCTGGCTGTGAAAGGCATTTGTTAGGGTTTAGGGTTTAGGGTTTAGGGTTTAGGGTTTAGAGTTTGGGGGCCCCCAGCAGCAACCCCTAGCAGGGCCCCCAGTTAGGGGGTCAAGAGGAAGCGCCTTGAGGGACAAAGAACAGCTCATGAGGCTCCATTTATATTTTGGTAAATAATTATTTAAATTAAAAAGCCAAGAAAAGGGTAAATAAACGCGAAGAAACGAGCAGCAGCAGCAGCAGCAGCAGTGGCTTGGTGGTTATTTCGTGGGGTTGCTGTCAGGACGCTGGGGTCCGGAGCCGAAAACGAGGCAAACTTGCTTTGAAATATAATTAAATTCAATTTTAATTTATAAAGAAAAATTTATTTCATTATTTAAAATAAATGCAGAGGCTTGAACAGCAGCAACAGCGACGCTCCCCGAGGTGTATGTACACCGGGTGTATGTACACCTCAGGCATACACCTGCGGCAACAGAGCTTTTGAACCTGCTCTTGCTACTCGACACTTTTGTTATTCTGTTTTTTTAATTTCACAATTCTTTTTTAATTCAATTTTTTATTTTTTAAATGCGGAGCAGCCTCCACTGCTCCTGCGTGCTGCTTCCCCAGGTACCCAATGCAGCAGGGGTGTGAGCGGACAAACTTTTTGGGAATATTTTGGGTGAAATTGAAGCTAATTGAAACTTAATTAAATGAAAATAAAATTAGTTTATTTTAATCTTTATTTAGAACTTCCAACGACTCCTCCAGGCCTCCCAATGCTGCGGTGCTGCAGAGGGTCTTGAAGAGAAGAAAACAACCACAGCAGCAGCCAGCTGCAGCAGCTGCCAGCTACAGCAGCTGCCAGCTGCAGCAGCTGCCAGCTGCAACAGCTGCCAGCTGCAACAGCTGCCAGCTGCAACAGCTGCCAGCTGCAGCAGCTGCCAGCTGCAACAGCAGCTGCTGCTGCGAGCTCTCCGGGGCTCAACCCAGTAGCGCTCGCGAGGCATTTGCAACAAAAGCTGTTTTTGGGCCTAAAGCTCGCCATTACCGTCTCTAATAAATTATTTGTTTATATTTTTACTTAGTTGTTAATTTATTTATTTATTTAGTTGCAAAATCCAAGAAAGTCCACTTTGAAACTCAGACTGGGTTTTTTATTTTTTCTTCATTAGCTCCTCTTCTGGCCTGCACTCAAAGGCGCAGCTGCTGCAAAATGTCAAAAGCTGAAAAATGATTTTTCAAAGTTTTTCATTTTTGTTCAATTTGTCCTTTTTAATCCTATTTACCAACCGCACTAAGTTCTCTCTGTCCCCATTTATAAACTTCTTAAAATAAAAATAATATAATTATTCTCTTTTTTCTCAACTTCGGCAAAATTTAGCTCGTTGCGCAACTGTACATGCATTTGGACTTTTTTTAATTTCCAGAAGTTTAACTTTTATTTCTTTTAATATCACATTTTCACCAATTGCAATATTATGAGTTTGCTTGAAATAAGCCTAAGTCTTGGGGCCAGCTAGCTGCAGCCTTTGATTATATAATCAAATATATACAACATGTATATGTATATATATACATTTATATTTATATTTATAGACTTTTAGTTTTGGATTAGTTTTATTTTCTTTCAATAATCATTTTAAATACTTTTTTAGTTCTTCAGAACCCCCAGGCATTCCTTCCCCAGCTGCAGCCTCTGCAGCTGGCTTCGGGACTCTTTTGGCTTTTTGTCTTTTTATATTTTTAAAGAGATTCTCTCAAGAAACTTTCTGGACAATAAGAGAAAATTAAGTTTAAATTATCCAAATGAATATAAATTAATTAATGTACTTTTATTATCAAACCAGCAGCAGCAAAAGTCCAATTCTCACAAAAGTGGATTGCGTCTCGTTTCCCTCCCGCCAGCCCCACCCCTCTAACATTTATGCAGAGCCCATTGTTTTGAATTCCCAAGATCAAATTCCTTAAATCACTTTTTCATATTTTACAATTTAGCAGTTCTTGAAAAGCAGCTCTTTCTGAACTCGCAATCTACAAGTTTTTAAAAAGCAGCTGTTTCGGACTATCCTACAATGAACAACTTCTCAAAAAGCAGCTCTTTCTGAATATCCCAGATTTTGTAATTTTTAACCCCATATTTTATAATTTTTAAAAAAGCAACTCTTTTTTTTTGGAATTCAAAAGTGTTAAACCCTGAAGGCCATTTCTGGGCTACTTTGGAAGAATGAGCTTTAGGCCCAGAGGCTCTTTGTGCCTTTTGCTGCTGCCATTTCTAAAGGACTTTTTAAATCTTCATTTTAAAAAATTAATTTAAATTATTTTTCAAGAAAATGAAAATCAAAATTTCGCGTGGCACAGCTCTTTCCCGCCAAGGCCGGGCAAAGCTCTGTGGGAACACGGAGCTCGCAGCCCTTTGCCAAATTTCTCGGCTATAAAATTAAAATTTAGAGCTAAAATAATATTCTTTTTGTTTTGGAGCTTCATTATTTTTATTTTTCCACGAAAGGGCCACTGTAGGCCCTCTGGGGGCGCCATTGTAGTGCCTGTGCCTTATGCTCTGTTTTAGGGTGTTGCTGCTGCCGCTGCTGCTGCAGCAGCAACAAGAGCGCAGCCGCAGCAACAGCGGCGGCCACTCGGGGACTTTGGTGCTTCTTCTGGGGGCCTCTGAGGGCCTGATTGGCCACTGCATGCAGCAGACTCTTTGCTTTCGAAAAAAGGCAAGGCAGGGCTGCTGCAGAGCTACTGATGGACAGCTGCTGCAGCATGACTTCTGGAAGTCTTGCTGCTTATTTGCTGCTTCTTCACCTGTCTTCTGTTTTGCTGCTGCAACGAGAAAGAGACGCACACATTTGGGGCTTGACTCGCTTGGCTGCTGCAGGCGCAGCTCTTCATTTCTCTCACCTCATTAAATGTTTTCTGCTTTCTTGCTTTTCGAAATTAAGCCCCTCTAAATGCCCCTTTAGGGTCGTACCCGAGAGACACAAAAAGTCTTTTTAGAGTTGCATAAAGGAGCAATTGGAGCAAAAATGATTTATCAAAACTCTTTTTAATGACTTCTCCTTTCAAAGACATATTTGCGCTTATCTAGCAAACTACAACTCCTGTGGGGGGGCCAAGAAAGCCTGCAGTACGGCATGCAAAAATAAGGGCCCCCGTTGGGGGCCCCCCAGAGGATCCCCTCCATCGGTCCCCGGGGGCCCCCCAGGGGGGCCCCCCAAGGGGGTCCCCCGAGAAGGAGGCCCCGGCTAAGAGGAAACTGCTGCTGTGGGAGCCAGCAGCTGGCGGCCTCCCAGCTAAGGCCCAAGCGGGTGTGGGGCCCCAGGTGTACTGGGGCCCCACACCTGCTGCTGGTCTAGCAAGAAGAAGCAAAAAGGAAAGTAAGAATTTGTTGTTTGAGCTGCAAAGTCTGTGGGGCCCCACACAGAGATGGCAAAAGCTAAGATAAGGGCGCGGGACTTAGAGGCTGGGGGAGGCCCTTTAAGTTGCTGCTGCAGAGCAGCAAAAGAAGCAGCTTGAAGTGCTAATAATCAGTTCAAAGGGGGCCCTTTTGGCACAGTCTGGGGGCCCCTGGTGTTGGATTCAAAAGATTTTGTTTCAACATTCTTTCCAATTTTCCTAATGGACTATCCCCTCCGTTATCTTCTCTGCAAGCGAAAAGCCCCATTTACAAAAAAACGGAAAAGTGCATGCAAACTTCACCTTCTGTGGGCCTCAATTTTGGACCTTTTTAAATGGTAGCAAGAATGGAAGTTCCGTTCACAAGTTTTTAATTTAACTTCAGGAGAAACTCCTTTTTAAACTTTTCCATTTCTGTGTTTAATTTGCTTTTTTGCTGCACTCTAAAAGCAGCAGTGGCCGCAGCGCATTTTGCTGCAGTTAGCTGCAGCAAAGTCTCTTTTGAAGAATTACTGTGGGCAAGTTTTGCTGCCGAAGAACTCCAAGCGGATGCGCCTGAGAGGCCCGCTGCTGCTGCGCGGCTGTGGGACTTATAGTGCTGATTGTTGCTGCTTGCTGCTGCTGCATGCTGCTGCTGCTTGCTGCTTATGCGCTTGCTGCTGATGAGCTTGTTGCTGATGCTCTTGCTGCTGCTGCTTGCTGCTGCATGCGCGAGCGAAAAGGGAGCAGCCTAGGGAACTGCGCGGGCGAAAGTTTTAACAACTTGTTCCAGGTGGTTTCCCCGTGTCTGCAAGGGACCGCGGCTTTGCTGCTGAAGCACCAGCAGCAGCAGCAGCAGAAGCAGCAGCAGCAGCAATACGAAATACAAATAGCCCTATTTTAGCTACGCTAGAGAAGCCTTTAAAGCGCGCTCTCCGTCCTCGGACTGTCAGCGAGGATCCCGAGGGCACGGAGGTACTCCTCCACTGCACCTGCTGATGTTGCTGCTGCTGCTGCTGCTGTTGCTGCTGCTGCTGCTGGTGCTCTTTATATGCGTTCACCGCTACCTACGGACTGTGGGGCCGGCTGCCAAATGTCTACGGGCGCCGCGGGCTCTCTGTGCTGCTGCTGCTGCTGCTGCTGTCTACGCGCTACGTGGGGTTTCTTTGCTGCTGCTGCAGCTCGCCAGGGGCTCCCTGGTCCCTCTGTGCTGCTGCTGCTACTGCAGCTGCCTAGGGGCCCCCTTGGGTTTCTCTGCTGCTGCTGCAGCTGGCTAGGGGCCTCCGGGCCTTCTCTGCTGCTGCTGCAGCTGTGCTGGGGGCCCCCGGGCGCTGTGTGCTGCTGCTGTGGGGTTTCAGGTGTACGTACAGCTGGTTGCTGGGGCTAAGAGGCGCAAAAGGCAGGAGGGGCTTTTGTCTGCGGGGACTTTTGAGTCCTTAAATTAAAAGTATTTCATTTAAGTTCTTCTTGTCTTTTTTTCCTTTCTTTTCTGCTTTTTTGTCTTTTAGATCAAAGCACAAGAGAAACCCTGGAGGCCCCCCACTCTGCTGCTGCTTTTCATTTATTTATTTGCTCCTTTTGCGCCCTTTAGCCTTCGCAGCCCGGGGCAAAACCGCTGGCTCGCAGCAGCAGCACCAGCAGCAGCAGCAGCAGCAACGGCAGCAGCAGCAGCAGCAGCAGCAGCACGTCACGAGCCCGCGCATGAATTCAACTGGTCCTTTCGAAAGGCTAAATTGCTGCCCGTTGGACGCAGCTTTGCTGCTGCATGGCCTGTGGTCAAGCGGGGGGCCCTCTCAGCAGCAGCAGCAGCAGCAGCAGCAGCTGGTGCTGCTGCTGCTCGAGTTGA